ACGAGTTTTGAGGACTGTTCATGAAGTGGTATTATTGTTTTTGAAGGACATATTTGCCTTTTTTCCAAATCCCTTCTCTCTACAACCTACCACACTGAGCAGCGCAGGCATCCGTTAACTCTGTCTTAACGCTTCGCTGATTTAAGTTTCGATTCGGTTTAGCGTTACGCTTTGACACTTGTCGTTAGGTTTAAGTTTACGAGTTGCTGATTCCTTGAGTAAGAAAAATATGGCTCCCGGCAACCTTTTTGGATCCCGATTTCTGTTTTCGTATATCGGCAAGGAGGCTATAGGGAGGAAGGATGAAAGTGATGGGCATTTCCGATCGGCTTGAAAATGTCACGTCTCAACTTATGGTATGTCGACGTTGTACATGAATGAAATAATGTGAAACATGATGGATAGCAATACTGAGAGGTATATTGAAATAAAACGTAGCGAATATGATAGTAACATAGTCGGGCTTGTTGAATTCCATGGGGAAGATTATGAGGTAAAAAAAAATTGGCACTGACTGGCAAAATACACGAACTTTTAGTTTCGAACAGCCATATAAAAACGTGAAGACTCAGATGTAAATAAACGTGAGTCTTATCTGCTTAAAATCTTGAAAGATGAACCGTATAAAACTCAGCTTAATATTTTGAGAATATTGAAAAACAAATGACGAATCGAAAAAGAGAGAAAAAAAAATCTTCGATTTACCAATTCCATCACAATCACAGTAACAATACACAACAATTAAAAAATTGAGTCATCCAATATTCAATGTTTGTAACAGAAAAAAATACCCTGAAAAGCGCACAATTCATTCCTGCACGCCGCTCCTTTCACATCAAACAGTGTTATTTTTAACGGACGCTGATACTTTTTTCTTCAACATTTGGGGATTCAAATCAACTTTTGCTTGACATAATTACCATACTATAATATCGTGACGATAGAACTATGTCGAAAACAGGGTGCTTCCACACTACCACTTTCTTTGTGTTGCAACGAAGATCTTGACGAATTCCTCACCTGTCGGCGCTCTACACTAAAGGGGTAGGTTATATCGATTTTATTGAATTTGTTTGTTGACATGAACCGGGACCCGTTTGAGGCAGTAGAGCATTTAGTAATGGTTAGCGAAATGCAGTTGGTTCAACGCGCCAGCTAGCTGGAGAACATGTGTGTATTGATATCTTGATGATGCTCGAAATACCAGCTAATAATTCACAACTATTACCTCATAATCTAATTGGATCAATCCTAACTTTTCAATTGAACCGTTGGGGAATTGTTACCGCTCGATTCAGGTGGTTCTATTTCAGAGCGTTATTAGGTGATAGTTACCGAGCCTGTGTATCCCCACAACCTAGTCTTTTCATCAGTATCGTGTAACAATCTGTATTAAAAACAAGAGAGAACAGGCGAAAATCGGTTCCTATTTGACCGAAACAGTTTCAAGGTGTTTGAACCATCAGCGCTATCTGAAGAATCTTCACAAGACTAGCTTCCTGCTATCCCCAACCCCTCCATGGAAAAAGCTTCCTACTACCTTAGCCCCGAAGGCATGCAATTCAGGACATCCATCGACTCATCCAGACCTATAGTGAAATGTTTGACTGAAATGACTCGTTGGATTAAATTTGGGTTAGGTAGGAAGGGGGATAGCATAATTTTCAATGTAATTTACTTTATTTGTCCTCCTTCAAAATAGCAGTCAAGAGATTTGGATTACGGCAATAGTCAAGACGGGTATGACAATATCCTTAATTACGTATAATATTACAATCTAGGAAATGCCACGAAATACGCCCTTTTAATTATCTGTTGAGTTTGGCCTATAGATATCTGCAGTTGAGGAGGGTTGGCCGACCATGTAAGAGAAATGAGCTCCCCCATTGCATGGAGTGCTCGAGCTTTCACGGTTATGGATAAATTGGTATCAGTTTCAAGACAGATATTTAGGGTTAGTTACAGTTACAAGATCCTTAACCCGTCTTGGGAGACGGGTCATATCTGATCTGCTACCAAATTTCTAAGGTATTACCTTCAATGGAATAAAATGTGCCTTGCAAATTTGTATGTCCCTATTTTTAACTTTTACACTGCCCATTCAGTACCATTCAACTATTGTAGCAGCAGGGGCGGAGGGGGGTGGTTGCGGTCACTGCATTAAATGGAAATTGACACATTCTTCTTTTAGATTCTTTTGATCTTTTGGATTCGCAAGAAGTATGGCCAGTTGATTCCGGAACCGTGCTTACCGCTCCAGGAGGGACGAAGACTGGACTCATTAAAGAAATGTACAGAGAGGGTATAAGGCCCTCATAAAAAAATCCAAGGAAATGCATGCAGAACTTTCTGCGAGGAATTGGATGTACTACCATAGGTGGCAGACTTCGTGGGTCTTCTACAATGAATCCACGGAAGGACTGGATGCTAGAAGAGAGCAGTCCCTATTGAGCCCTAGTCTCCGAGATAGTAACGCTATGTGGCTTGCAGTGGGCGGTGGACTTCTTCGACGTATAGAAGACCCCGGGACCCGATAGAGTATACCTGGCGCTCATGCAGAAAGGAGGTTCCCTGCTTTTACGGAGGTTAGTAACGGCACTCTCGGCATGTCCGGCACTAAGGACATATTTATTTTCAGGGTTATATTTATTTTCAAGCCGGGCACATGTAGTCATGCTACCGCCAAGACTTATAGACTTATCAGCCTGAGCTCCTTCCTACTTAAAACACTAAAGATCGTTGATAGGTCCATTAAGGAGGGGGTGTTGAAAATGACTACTATTTGCCCCTCTCGTGATAGTTACCAGGCAGGTCGATCGACTGACACTGCACTACACTGCCTGGTTGGAAAAATAAAGTCAGTAAGAGAGAGGAAGGAGGACACCCTTAGTGGATTTACAGATATAGAGGGGACCTTCGATAATACCTCTTTTAATACAATGAAGAGGGTAGCAACATCCTCTGGCATTGAAAGACATCAGATGCATAGCAGCCATGCTTCGAGCAAGTACGGTTCATGCCTGCTTCACAGCGCTGTCAGCGCACTAGCGGGAAGGGGCTCTCCGCAGGGGGCAGCTATCTCTAACCACTGCATAACAAGATACAAAGGTACTGGACAACGTTCAGCAATGGTGCACCTCTCATGAGCTCACGGGAAACCCGGGAGAAACTGAGATGGTGTCATTAACTAATAAAAGGGGGATGGTTGTGAAACCCCCCTCCATGTACGGCAATATGCTGAGCTTCGTGGCGGAGGTGAAGTATGAGAGTGAACACATCCCCATGTAGAGCGACAAGATCATTATGACATACTGTGATACATCCGATGTTTGGAAACACGTGCGTTTTAAGGCCCAAAGTAGAGAAGTGTATCTGCATGGCCATTATGATCGCACAGATAACATACGCCACTGGGCTACATATAGCCAAGTTAACCAAGTTAACCTTGGCTGTGGAGAAACTATACTAAGAAAAGATGCAAAATGATCGCCACTCAAGCGTTGAGTTTGGTACACGGATGGCTTCAGAATGGATCATCGAGCAGGTGCGGGAGTTTAGTCTGAAGGACCCACAACTTGGAGAGCCATCGGACTGGAGTCACACGCAACCGTCTTACAGACGGAGTTAGCGGCCCTGAGAGCCTGCGCAAGGCTAGTTCTACAAAGACAGGATAGGGACAAGAGAATACACATCTGTTGAGATGGCAGAAATGCACAGAGGGCACTGTTTGGATATGATACAGTTAGTCTAACAGCTTTTCTTTATTTTCGCATTTAATCCACCAATGGTGCTTCTCTGTTATCGAGTGCTATTTATCCTATAGAGACAAATACACTACTCACTTGAAATTCGGTTGTTTTTTCTTGCTGAGCATTCCCAACCACATTCGATAACAAACCGGTAAAGTAAAAATTGTGCTAGATGTGTTAGAAAAGTGAAGATTTGTGAAGAAAATATTTGCAAAAATTGATTCATCATTGAGACTAGCTTTCTCGAATCAAAAATGAGTGTATACGTAATTGATGATGCCAATGAGCCGGTGACAAATATCTCAAGGATTATTAATTTCTTAACAAATGTCAAGCATTTTGTGTGAACGCTTTCATGCATTTCACAATCGACTACACCGCTTCCGTTAGCTTTGCGCTGTTTGATAGCTTAGCTTAGTAAGAATCACATGAAGGATTAGATTTCCGTGATTTCGTATGTGATGCGTGATAGAACTCCGGCTGATACTCCCGCATATTTTAAATGGTTCAACAGTTGGATATCAAATTAAATATGTATCGAACAGTAGTTTGGATATTTCAGATATTTTAATTAGATTTTTCTCAGCATTTTTGAAGGCAACCATTAAATATGATAAAACTTCAGTAATTCATATAACTGAGCAAAGTAGCAGTAATAATTATGGCATACTCTGTAATATATAGTTTCAGCTTTTTATAGCCGATACTATTGGTACAAAACTCGCTAGTATCGACGAAGGATTGAATCTAATTTATTCGTAGAATCAAGAAAAAATGAGAATGCAGAATACATAGAGTAAGGTCTGCGTGGACAGTAAGACGGTTGGATATGAAAATAAAGAGACTTATAAGTGAAATTAATTGTCAAAAAGTCAAAAAACATCCAGTGATCAGGTGGAAAAAGCAATCGAAAAAAATATCGTTCGTGAGTAACATCTAGCCGGCTATAAATTCGTTTTAGTCTCGGCGTAGAGCTAGGTAAGCAAACTCGCTTAATGCACAATGAAGAGGCAGACAAGTTGTGTAATTGGAATATGAATGGATTGGTATATTGATACGGCAGGAGTGTCTATCCCCACTAATCACGTTGGAACATTACAAATTATATGAGTGAAGAGCTCTCGCTATCTTATTTCGTCTCCTTTTCATATTATCGTAGGCATTTTTTAATTAGTCCCACGATAGTCGTGAAAAGTAACGTTTGACTGATGACATAATTTTGTTCAATTCGACAACAATAAAAACACAAACCTGTGAATCTTTGAGCCCGAGTCGTTCTGCAAGTTTCTTACGATCTGGTTTGCTGATATATTTCTGTAATTGAAATCGTCTTTCGAGTCCTCGTCTTTGGGTGTCTGAAAAAACGGCTCTTCTCATCATTCCTTTCCTAGGTCGTCCACGTGTACTAGCTGCCCAGGGAAAACATGCTGCATTTAGACTCGCGAGGTCACCAAGACCTGGTTGTATCGTACTTGAAAAGATACCGGCCCCCACAGCAGAATTTGCAGAGAGATGACCACCATTAGCAGGATTACTCACTACATTGAAAAGCAAAATGATTGATCATGGTTATGTGACAAAAGTAAACATGGCAATATGCTTTTCATCTATGAAAGTCTTAACAAATCTCTGGTTGATTTTTCGCTTTATCCAACACTCAATCAAAAACTATTTTTAATTTTCATGAGTCATTTAAAAATCTCACTGTGTTCACAAGATAAATAGTAACAAAACAGAATTAATTTTATTATATTTTCAAAATGATTGAGAACTTCGGATACCCACGTTAAAAGTTTTAATAAAAATAGGACTTTGTGAAATTATTGATAGATTCAACTGACAGACACAATAGGCACAACGGACCAGAACGCCCATAACTGAAGTCACGGCACCACTGCCCGGGGGGGGGGGGGGGGGGGGGGGGGGCAAAAAGATTGACTAATGATGAGTAATTGGGCAAATCATTGGGGCTACCGGCAGAGGAGATTAAAATTCGCGAACCAAAGGTTGAAGCCAATGTATTAGCTACCGCGGTAATGCTGCTTGGCGTAGACAATGCTTTGTAGTATACGGTGCCATCAGAAACAGGTCACCATCCTGCCGTAAACAGTCCAGCTCCACCACACATGGCTTCGACTGGGTGAGATTGCGTCACTGTTATTATTCGGGGCCAGATCTGGTTATCAGGATAATCTGAAGAGACGTTCGAAATATGTGTGGATTACAAGAAGTTATGAGAGAGGATAAAATAATCCCTCGCATGGCGTTGGTGAATTAATATTAGTAATGCCTATTTAATGAGTAAAACAGTCACTGTTCAATGCCACAAAAAGAGCTGAGCAAGAGCAGTATCCACTCCGAGAATTCCTGCATTAATTCCGAGAACAGCTAGTAATGAGCGGATTTAATAATTATAAGCAAAGCGAAGTTCTGCAAAAAATGTGTATACACACACGAAACGCCCATATGCTAATGAGAGCGATTACCAGACCGCGAGGTGGAAGGTATCGATCATCGCGATTGGCAATTACATCTGCCCATGAAATGGCGCCTCACGTGTCAGAGGTGAGAGGCCACCGGTCATCTGAAACGAGCGATAAGAACAGCGGAGCAGGTCATACGGATGTGCGGCAGCGTATCAGTGTAAAGAAACATCCGGTGTAAAACCGAACAGTTACACTGGCAATACTATTAAGGGATGATAATTTGACAACAAAGCGAAAAAAACACCCATCTTGAAGCGTCACCAAGCCGGAAACTTGAAAAAAAATTGAAACAATTTTGGAAAAAACCACAGTAAAGATCAGCAGGGCTGGAAATCAAGGATTTTCCGAGCTCAACCATTAAAACACCTCCTAGGAGAATGGAGCAACAGTAAAAGGCGTTGAGCCTTTAAAACCGCACTACAACATTTCAGAAAAACCGCGATTGTTGAAAATATCGTGAAAGAAAGCATCGTCAAAGAAGCACTCGGACCATGATTCGATCCATGACACTTATACCTTCCTGTGCCTTACTCACTTTGTTATTCATAAGTCCGTTCGAATATTACATTTCATTCTAATATATCAAAAACTAAAAACGTAGAATTTCTTCTTATTTGAAGCATTATACCAGAAGTATGGTTATACTTCTGATACTCTAGTAGATAGAGAAACTATTAAATAAGTAATGCCATTTTCTTAATAACAAGCAAGGGGCCTCTTTTCTTAAGGACTGCCATAAGCTTCACCCAGGACTAACTCGGTTTACTTGAAGGGAGATAGTAGAAATTTAAATTTGTTAAACAAAAATTTTCCTATACTCATCAATATAACTGTGTTTAGGCCAACTCATATCATCTTTCGCCAACGGCAATATTGACTGACTCAACACATAAGGAGAAGATGAGGTTTGGGAAATTCAGCAAAGCCTGTTTTTTGGACGTTAAACTTCAACAAATTTCAAGTTCCAAAGTTTTCCGCTTTTCAAACCCGCATAAGCAGCGAGTAACTGATGGTTTCAGCCTTTCAAGCCTTAGTTTGGGCGAGTGCTAAAATGAGCCTCACCAATAGTTTCGTAAGCCATTGTCCAATCAGGCCGTAGACAATGAAATTAGGCTGGGGTCGGGCCCGAGTTGTTTAACGTTACTGAGCTAAGGCTTTTGCAGTTCTGTTCTGATCGACACTCTTTGGAACATTCATCTGAGTTATATTCATTTGTTCCACTACGACTATTCATCCACGAGTTATTTGGAGGCAGGATCATAAGCTGTTCTCCTGATGCGCTGGGCTCCAATCAAGTTGGTCAGCCAGTTGAAATGTTGATTCAAACTGTGCACCCTGATCAGGACTGATTATGAGTGAAGTACTATAAAAATTAATCCAGTTATCGAATAAGGCTGTGACAATTGTATCAGCTATTATGTTTCTCAGGGAAAGGGGGGCTTGCCACCTAGAAAATCGATCAATAATCGTTAAACAGTACCGACAATTTTTTATCGCCGGAAGAATGACAATATCGATATGTATATGATTGAATCGACTGTCTGGTATTTGTATATGTTCAGCTGTAATTTTATTATTCCCGAGCCCATGTCAATGCATTTTTTCTGATCAGGGGCCACATAAATTTTCCTCTTGAAATTTTTTAAGTAATTTTGTGGCTAGGATGAGAAAGCTGATTGATGCTGTTGAAAGCTTATCTTCGGAGAGATTCTGGGATGTACGGCCTGGCAACGTTGTTGCTAATGTACATTAAATAGCAGCAGTGGGTTTGATCTGAAGATGTTGTAATTTAAGTGAAAATTTCTTCTCTGATATGAGATGTAATACTTCTCTTTTTCTGGTTCTCTTTAAATTGTCTCAGCATCGAGAGTAATTGCTATATTATTTGTTTCAATTCTCGAGAGAGCATCAGCAACTGAATTATGATCTCCTTTTACACGAACAATTTTCGTCATAAATGGTGAAATTTATTGAAGCTGTCTGAGCTGTCTATCTGAATCTTTGGAAATCTTTGTGAAAATGTATAAGTGGCTTATGATTAGTTCTTATGAAATATTGTCGGTATTCCAGGCATTGTTTAAAGTGTTGGACTGATCTAAAAACAGCGAAGAGTCCTGTCATACATGGAATACTTCGGTTCAGTGTCCCTTAATTTACGCCAGAAGAAAGGTATTCGCTGAATGTGATGATTGTGCCATTGTTCAAGGACACAGCCCATGCCTGTCGTTAAACCAGGGCCCGGCAACCTGGGCTCATCGGGCTCACGCGGCTCCCGAGGTTCGTTAGTGAGAGCTGGGAGAGGGGCCTCATCCACTTAACGAAACTACCTGCTCTAATTCGATTTTTCTCTCTCTCTGAGGCCTAGTTTGACCAATATCAGCAGAGGGCGGCCGTGTCATCGAGCGGCAATTTTCAACTTTTCATAAATTGGAAATATAAATATCAATTTTTCACTCGAAATAGGCAGCAATATTAGACAAAAAAATATTTCAATGCGATATTTGCAGCAATTTACTAAAAAAAAAATGCAATATTTGATGGCAATTTAAATTTGAACTTTAATTTTGGATTTTAGAGGCATGAGCAATATTTGTGCAATTTGAATATCTGTCGAACATCAATAAAAATTTATTAATATGCCGTTTTCAATAGTAATGGATGGAAGGATAGAACATGGATTGCCCCGAATAAGTGACAAGTATGTCCGATAGTTTCGATGAATGACCATGATCACTGGAAAACGCGGTTTACATGGTGCACTATAATATAGTGCAGGTTGGTTTCTTGAAAACCTAAACAGTGGAATTGAACTATGAATAAAAAATTTCATTTTTCATTTTGACGTGGCAAAATGAGCAAAAATCAAAATGTAATATGAAAATCAGCCATGGAATTTCCAGGAATATATTCCAAAGTCGACAATGGCAACTTTTCATTTTTCAAATTTAGAGTTCCAATATTACTATTTGAAAGAACAATAATAATTGACGACTACCATTTCGGAAATATATTCTCCAAAGTTTTCCTATGGAAATTTTACTTTTTCAATTTTATATTTAAAATTTAAAACTGAAATTTAGCGCGAATTCTGGTGAGTCAGCCATTTTTATTCGACTCGCACGCCACTTTGCGTGGCTGACGAAAATATCGTCACCACTGGGACTTATTCGCACACAATGGTTGGCTAATTGGGTACCCATTAGGGGATTATGCCGACCCTTGTAATAGGCTGGCTCCCGACTACCTGAAGGTTGCCGGGCCCTGCGTTAAACCATCGGTAGTAAGGATCAGCAGAGCGGAAAATGACAAGTAAGCTAAATTTGTGATTGCATCAATGTGTTTTAGGATTGTTCAAAGGTTTATTTCGCTTCACTGGTCCAATTGATTTTGGTTTCTTCATTCTTCTTCGATTGTTTAAGGTAAGTATTAAAAGCCAATTGCAATGTTACTGCGCGAGGAACCTTCTACCCGCCTTTCCTTCTGAAGGTTACAACGTGGCCAATTTTTTCCTAAGAAAAAAACCCGATGTAATTCGCCGTTTTTCCCCCGAGCAAATTAAAACCTGTATGGGCGCCAGTTACTTTCTGTTCCCGGAAGCAACAAACCGGATTAATATCAAAGCGGAAGCAAATTAATCAGAACCAAAACCCAAAACGTAAACTAAAATCAGAACGATTCGAGGAAAGGTGGTGATTTGCCGCGCTGGTCAGCGGTGAGGTTGTGGAGAAAGGGGTGAGTCGAGATGGGAACGAGGTTCAGGGCATCGGGAAACATAACCACAAAGAAAAAAGAAGACAGCCCAAGTGATCAATTCAGAATATCAGATATCTTTAATAGTTCGGTACAAAATACAAAAAAGATAGAGAAAAGAAAAGAAAGGGAGAAACGAGGAGAGAGAGATCTTCAGCGAACTCGCTTCCTAGCAGAAGTGATGAGCAGATTAAAGGCAAGAGGAAATAAAGAGGGAAATAAAGAGCTTTATTATGCAGCGACATGATAGGCGAGAAAGATTAACCAGCAGCAATACAGTAATATTAGCAAATATACAGTAA